AAAAAAAAAAAGCAGTGCCTTGGTACTTACCCTGGGGTTAAAAAAAAAAAACAATGGCAGCTTGGCAATCCCAAGTTGCAAAAAAAAAAAAGTGCATCTTTGTAGCCGTTTGCTTATTTAATAAAACCTCTGTTTTCCAGACAAAGACCTCGATGCGTGCCGTGGGAAGGATCCCAGGGTTTTTCACTGAGCAGTCCCTTCCCTGTGTGTATTCCTGATCCCTGGTGTCCCAATTTGGAATTGTGGAAAGAGCTCGGGAGCAGGGGGATGGGGCTGGAGTGACTGGGGTGGGATCTGAGCCTCTTGGATGGGCTTTGGGAGATCCCCCATGGATGATCCAAGTGCTGCACCCCAACATCCATCCAGACACCAGTGCTGGTGTTCTGTCCCCTCCTGTTCTGATTGTCCTCATCCAGCCAGGGTTTGGGATGAGGATGGGGAAGAGAAGGGGAAAATCCACTGGGTTTTTCCTGCTGGACCCTGTTAGCTTTGAATTAACATCCCCGAGGAATATCAGGGATTTCTGTTCCTGTGTCACCCTCTGAGACAGGCAGCGAACAGCTCACCCAGGCTGAGTTAAAAAAGCACATTTTTACAAGTCTATAAAATAGAAACAGGGAAAAAAAAAAACATTCCTCAGAAAACTTCAGCCTCCTCAGCCAGGTTTTTCTTCCCTTTTTGGCAGAGTGGCAAAGAAATGCGGCTCAGTGTTGCCCCAGTTCCTCGGATATTCCCAAAATACTGCAGGAGCTGCAGCTCTGGAATCTCCAAGGGTGCTGAGGAGGGATCCTGTCAGCATTCCTTGGGCTTTTTTGCAGTGCTGGATATTTTGTTCTTGGAGGGGAGGGGGCTGCACTCCCCCAGAGTGTTGGGAAGCTCCAGTGTATTAAATCAAAGATCCTTGGATGCATCCTGGTGACCCCGACCCGCCCCTGTGCTGCTCAGCTGGAGACATCCTTAGCTGTTAATTAACAAAGTCCTCTTGATTAACGGCAGCAGGAGGTTAATGACCACGGGCAGCTCCAGGGGAACGTGCACTAACTGGAATTAGCATCCAGGGAAAGGGCTGGGTGGGAGCTGCAGCTCAGGGCTGGTGGTGCCGGGATCTGCCAGCCCTTTTGGGGCAGGAATCGGTGAAATTGAGATGCAGCTGGATTTAACGCCTCCGAGTCAAGGGATGAGTAGGATGCAGAGCCACCACCATCCCCATGAAATCTGGAATTAGGGCAGTTGTGAGGATTTTAGGGTCAGTCAAGGCTTGTGGTAAGGAAGAAGAGCGGGGTTTGGAGGTGGAGCACAAACCCTCCATCCCAGAACCCCCCTCCCCAGCCTTGGAGCACCAACCCTTGTCCAGGACCTTTATCCCAAACCCTGGGAGCCCAACCCCATCCACATCCCTGTGATTCTCACCCTCAGCCCAGCATCCCCCACCCACAACCTCGGGATCCCCAGTCCACACCTCCCAAATCCTGTTCCCAACCGTTCCCCCGCTCCCTGCCCCAGGTCCCCGTTGTGCTGTGGGGTTCTGCACCCCCAGAGCCCAGAGATGATGTCGCAGCCCACTGGGAGCTGTGGCAGGGCTGGTCCTCACCCAGCACATCCCAAACCTGCCCTATTCCCGCTGCTGCTTCCCTGGATTTACCCCAAACCCAAACCCAAAGCCGGGTCTCATTTCCTGGGCGAGGTTACTCTGGAACACAACAAACCCCGTTCCTGTGGAATGTGTTAGCATCCTTAATGACAGCTCTTTTTCACTTGGCTGTCACGGCCCTAAAATAAAGCCGTGTTTTCCCTCTCCCATAAATCACTGCCTTTATTCCCAATTGGAATGAAATTTAAAATTAAGGGGAAAAAAAAAAAAAAAAAGGACTAAACGTGTTCCCCTCTCCCTTTGATTTAAATTATCCCTGCTGTGTTCTGGCATGTTTTCAGCTGTAAATTTTAGGGGAAATAGCCAAGCTGAGACATAAACCTGTTGGTTTTGTCAGGGATGGAGATGGCTGCTCTCAGATTTATGGCCCATCTCCCCATTCTGGGGTTTTTGTGTTGCTGAGGTGGGGGGGAATTTCCCTTTTTTTTTAAACCCAGCTGGAGCTTCACAGGATTTAATTTGGGAGGAAGGGGAACTCCTTCTCTCTGAGCCCCCCAGCATCGTTTCCATCGCTGGGGGCATTGCCCAGAATCCCCTGAATTCACCCCAAAAGAGCATTAATTCCTTTGCCAGGAAGGGATCCCAGACCCGAGCCACACTTGGAATCCCCTCCCGCATCACAGCATCCAGGGAGCACAAAACCCGGCAGGAATTGGGGGAAATGCGGGAATTTTTGGTGCAGACGCCGTTGCCACGGCAACATCTGAGCAGCCCATGCAGCCCTGGAGGGAGGAACGCTGCAGCAGGACCAGGAAAACTCCAAAATTCCATCATTTTTTTTCCAGCAGGAATCCAGGGAGGAGGTGAGGCTGTGCCCACCCAGGGATGCTCAGGCTGAGTCAAGCGGAAATATTCCCATTTTTTCCAATCCTCATGGAAATGCTGAGTGCTGCCTCCCCCAGGCAGCTGGGCGGGCGAGTAAATGTCAAGAGCATTCCCCAGGAAAATGATGTGGGAAGGATGGCTGGCTCCTTTTTCCAGGGGGAATAGGAATTTTATCCTTACGTGGCTAAAATATAGCCCAGTGATTAATAAGTAAATAAAAAATCTGAGTACGAAGGGAATTTTATCCTTACGTGGCTAAAATATAGCCCAGTGATTAATAAATAAATAAAAAATCCGAGCATGAAGCTCCAGGAAGGGGAAGCTGCTCCTGTGTCAGTGGGATGAGGGGAAGGAGGATCCCAGAATCCAGAGGTGCAGCCAGATGTGCAGCACGCCCTGGCATGGTCATAATATCTTCCAACTGCTCCGTTTCGGTGCAATTTAAATATGTTAAAAAAATTAAAAAAAAATAAAAAAGAAAAGGCAATTGTGGTGCAATAAAAGAAAAGAGAAGATGTGAATGGATACTGCTGGAGGCTGGGGAGATTCCCAGGCTTTTCTTTTTTGTGGGAAGGGGTTGGTGGAAGCAGAGATGCAGATGTGGGGTCCCCTCCCCACCCTCCCCTCCCTCCTCCCAAGCTGCAGCCCAGGCTCCGAGCGCCGCACGCGATGTCATCATCCCTTAATTGTTTTATCTCGGCGATTAATTGGCTTTGAGGGGTTAATTACTTCCGAGGGGCGGGAGGGAGCGCTGCCCCTCCGGGGCCTGTCAGAACAAATCAAGGCCGAGGTGAGGCTTCATCCCTGCTTTAAAAAAAAATTAAATAAATAAAATGGAATGTCACCAACTCCAGATTAGAAAAAAGGGATAAATTGCACCCAGCTCTTGCTCTGGTGCCGAGGAAGGTCAGGAATAAATCCTGCAGTGAATGTCCCCCTTCCTACCACACATCCCATTAAACCTGTCTCTAAGGACACTCTCCAGGTAGCAAAGCTCCCAAAAAAGAGCTGCTTTGGTTGCATTGTCAACACAGAAATGACATTAATGGGATTTCAACACCTGTTAATGGGTTTAAATACAGAAATGGATTAATGGGATTGAAGGGGACAGGAGCTGTTCTCCCTTTGGTCCCACAGCCCTGGTCTGGGATGGGTGGGGGGTGCTCAGGTGGTCCCACAAACAGCAAAACCTCTCCTTGAATTGCTGGGTTACCCTGAGGGTTTGTTCTGGCTGACAGACAACCCCGGGGCTGCCATGGGCAAAGGAGTGAGGGCTCAGCTCCTATCCCACTGCCATGAATCCCAAAAAAACCTCCAGCTGTTTGTCAAGGGAAGAGTTAAAAACGGGGCAGCTGCTCCCTCTGAATGCAACCCCTCACCTCCTTCCAAAAAACAAGGAGCAGGAGCCCCCCAGCCCAGCTCTGCTCCACACACACGTTAGAAAAATAGAATATTTTTATTGAAATTCTCCTTTTTGCTCCAGGGAGTTTTCTTCTCTCTTGGAATAGAGACCAAGCAGCGTCTCTGGATTCGACCTGTGCCTGCATTTCTGTCAGGATCGAGAGTTAAAAGCCAACTGGTGGATCTCTAACTCTAGAAAAGGCTGCGTACAATATATGGCTTTTGCACCTACATCCAAGGGGGTCTTGCGGGTTGGGAGCTTTGGGGAGCTCGTTTGGGACAAAGGCAGGATGGGGAGGGTGGCGTGGGATGAGGGGACAGCCAGGGACCACATGCAGCTGTGCACAAAGCCAGCCTGGAAATCAGCACGTTCCTGCTCTGTGGGATCCTTTGGTTCGGCTTTGGGACGTCCCAAAGCTCAGCCCCGGGGTTTGCTCCCCACAGGAGCGGTGTGGATCCTGCTCCTGCTCTCCCAAACTGCTCCTGGCTCCTCAAAAATGCTCCTGAGGGGCTGTGCTGGCTCGTGGGCTCTGAGACGAGGCCTGGGTGAGCTCGTGGGTCCCAGCAGCTCGTCTGTGCAGGGAAAACGTCCCCCTCTGGAGCTGCATCCACAGGGAAGGAGAACTTCCACCTGTAGCCACACTGCTGGGGGACATGGGCCCCCACCATGGGCTGGAGCAGCAGCTTGGCCTGGTGCTGTGGCTGGGGAATTGCAGGGAGTTCTCAGGGAGCCACAGCCACGTGCGGGGACATTGCACAGCACGGCCTTGCAATCCCACAACCTCAGGCAGGATCCCTTGGTCCATCCTCCCTTGGGAAGGCTGAAGATTCCATCCAAGGACAAGTGGAATCCTTCCAGGGCTGGGATTTTGGGGACACCCACCCGGCCTGAGCAGCTCGACGTCCCCAGGAGAGCCTGAGGGGACACAGAGATCCCATTGCACTTCCCAGGAGGGCTGGGGCAGCCAGAACAGGAGCAGGGATCCCTGGGGCAGGGAAGGCACCCATGTCCCCAGGCTGGCCAAACAAAAAAAGCTCAGCGGCGGCCGAGGACCTGTGGCGGCTCATGCGGGGAGTGACCAACAGCTACAGCGGCGCACGGAGGGTTAAAAGAGGAGCCACCCACTGGGTGGAATTAGGCAGAATCTGGGAGGACCGAGCCACTCCTGACCACGGTGCCCCCTCCGTGGTCACCATCATCTGGGGAAATAATCCTCGGGGACCCCCGAGAGGTTGCGGAGCTTCAGCGCCGCGTCCACGGTTCGGATGTAGCCGCTGATCGCCTTCCTCATCTCGGGCGTGTAGGGGTCGTACTCCAGTTTCCTCAGGCCCGAGCGCTTGAAGTTGCCGTCCTTCTGTCCCTCCACGCACAGCAGCCTGTCCTCGCAGGCCGTGACGCCCAGCAGGGCCACCATCCTCTGCAGCTGCGCGAACAGGTCCCGCTTGAGGTCTTCGAAGTGCACCACCAGCACCTTCTTCCCGTAGCGCAGCCAGTCCAGCGTGTGCGTCGCCCACCACGGGGCGTAGTTGGCCACAAACTCCGGCCACTCTGAAGGGGAAAAGAGGCAGGAGAAGATGTGTGCTGGAGTTTCACCCGATTGGAGAATTTTGGGTGTGGGTTAGATGGTTTTTTTTGCACCTCCTTCCTCGCGAGTCTGGGTGGTTTTCTCTATCTTGGCTCCCATATATCGCCATACACTAAAAGCCCAAATTTAAGTTTTTTCACCACACGCTTCTAACCAACTCCACACCTGTAATCCCAGTGTTAATGATCAATTTTGGAAGCTCTCTCCACAGCCTCAGTGTTCTCTTGAGGGTCTGTGCCTTTCAGCACAGAGAATTTAAAATTCTCAGCATCCAGGGCTCCAACAGATGTGGGTGGATGTTCCCTGTGTCCTCTCCCATCCCTGCTGGAACATCTCAATTAACCTTCCGGCTAATTGATCCTACTATTCAAATCAGGTGGTGAGAGGGATGATGAAACACCGATACTCAGCCGCATTAAAGCTCCAGGCATCTCCCTCTTCCTCGTGTCCTCCCCACAAAACCAAGGCCTGATTAACAGCTGGATTGGGTTTGGCTCCCCCGGGAATCGTTAACCACAGGATGTGTTCCATTAAACAGATCCAGGACAATTCACCTTGTGTAATCACAGCACATAAAACTTTGCTTTGGAGCCGCTCCAGGGACGTCGTAAAAATCAATGCCACGGAACCCAACAAGGGTTTGGCCTCTGCAGGGCTGGGACTGGGCTGGGGGAAACGGGAAAACATCCCCTCAGCACTGGGGGTGAGGTTGGGATTTTTTCCCCAGATTTGCCCCAAAATTAGTTCTTGGGAGAAGAAAATAATTTGGAGAGTAGGGCTGCAGGGAGGGCCAGGAATGGGACCCTCATGCTCCATGTTCAGCAGCTTTTCCAGCTGGGAATGGAGTCACCAACCATGCAATGGAAAATCTCCATTTTAACCTGACAATTAACCCATCGGCTAATTACTCCACACATCCTCTGGAAAGAATTTGGTGATGTATCTGAAGTGCATCCAAACAAGACTGTGCTGGCGTGGTCCCCTCTGGATCTCCCTCCCCTCGGAGAGACGAGGCCTGGGACAAGCTGGGGAGGGGGTTGGGGTTGGGAAGGCTCAGGGGGTCTCTGGACAGGGATTGGGAAGGCTCAGGGGGTCTCTGGACAGGGATTGGGAAGGCTCAGGGGGTCCCTGGACAGGGATTGGGAAGGCTCAGGGGGTCTCTGGACAGGGATTGGGAAGGCTCGGGAGGCTCCCTGTGGTGCTGGGATTCCAATCCTGGCTCTATCCACAAATGGATGGGGAAAAAAGTCAAGCAAAAGGCTCCTGTGCCACCACAGTGGGGACAGTGTCAGCCCAGGGACACAAAGCTGAGGAAGTGGGGGACACCACACCCCGCTGGTTTTTTGGGATGGGGAGAGCAGGGCTGGGCTGTGCCCAGCACCGTGAGCACATGGAGATAACGAAATCCAGGCACATCCCAGCCACAGCAGGCAAAGCTCCCCTTAAATAAACTCGGAATTAAGGGTAGCAGATGTTCAATCAAGCAAAACATTTTAACTCTTTCCAATGAAGTCAATCCCACAACAGCAATTTGGAAATTGCTGTAATTAAGCAGCCTCTGGCACGCGCCTGTGCGTGGGAAAGGTGGTGGGTTGGGGAGCAGCTGGACACACGGAAATAACACCTGGATCCCACAGGGGTGGGCTGGGCACTGCCACCACTCCCTGGGCACAGGAGATGCCCATCCTTGCCTGGCCCAGCCGGGTCCTGCTGTCCTGCTCCATCTTGTCCCACCCAACACGGGAAGCCACGACCATCCGCGGTCACACCAAGGGATGGCCCCAAAGTGGTGGCACAGCCCAAGATCCCCCCATGGACACCCAACTCCGGCTCTGCTGGGCTTCCCCAACCAATTCCCAGCTCCAGCAAGCAGGGCTGGAGCTGTCCCAGGGGATTCCCTCCCTACCTTTGCCCTTCCAGTGGGCGTGGGCGGCGAAGCCGATGTGCCCGCCGTACTTGCGGTTGAACTCGGCCATCAGGGCCTTGTAGGGGTTGCGGATGAGCAGGATGGCCGAGTCGAAGGACTCGATCTCCTTCTGCCCACTCTCGTGGGTCTTGATGCAAATGGTCCTCCCACTCCTCCAGTGGTCCCGCTCGCCCTTGAATCCTGCCCGGAAAGAGCTGGGATTAATGGGACCAACAGGGAGCTGGGAATGGGGCTGAGCCTGGGGGAAAGGAGGCTCAGGTGGCACCTTGTGGCTCTGCACAAATCCCTGACAGGAGGGGACAGCCGGGGGGTGTCGGGCTCTGCTCCCAGATAGGATTAAAGGATGTGGCCTCAAGCTGTGCCAGGGAGCTTTAGCTGGGATAAAAGGGAAAATATCTCCCCCAAAAAGTGATCAATCCCTGGCACAGCTGCCCAGGGCAGTGGTAGAGCTCCCACCCCTGGAGGGATTTAAAAGCCGTGTGGATGTGGCACCTGGGGATGTGGTGGCCTTGGCAGTGCTGGGGGAGCAGTTGGATTCTCAGAGGACTTTTCCAACCCAAAGGATCCCACAGTTCCATGAAAGGGAGCGTCACAGGGATATCAGGTTGCAAAATCCAGTTGCATGATGAAAGCAGCTGGGGCGTGAAGGAGGACTTGCATCTCTCTCCCAGATGGAAATAATTTATTTTCCCATGTTATGAGTCTCATAAAATTGATGAGTGGGTGGCTCACAGGCACAGGGGCCCCTCAGGGTGACACCTCCCTGGCCACACTCAGCTCTTGTGCCTGTTTTGAGGGGTCAAGGGCAGATTTTATGGCTGTAACCTCCCTGAGCACAGCTGAAACTCTCCCAGTAATAAAGAAATGGGAAACCCTTGTGCCTGTGGGGCAGTGGATCAGCCCAAGGTAGGGGTGATGCCACGGGGGTCCAGAGAGGAGACCCTGCACTGAGCACAGGGCTGAGCCAGCATCAATCCCAGCCCCTGGCATGCACCTGGAGTGGGGGATGAGCTGTGAGGAGCTGTATTCCATCAATTAGAGAGGTGTAATTGGCTCTCAGCTGTGGATAAATCTGCCGGTTGCCTGGATACCTCCTGGCCCCTCCGACAGGGAATGAACACGGATCCCACGCTCGCGTGGCTCAGCAGAACCCAGCCAAGGCTTTTCCCACTGCTGCTCCCTTCCCTGGGATGCTGCTGCACCCTGGGGGCTGGGGCACTGCTCCCTCACTGAGCATCTCCCTCTCTGCAGGGCTGGATTTGGCAGGAATTGGGAAGGAATGTGCTGCCTGGGGTGTTGGGAAAATCAGGATTTAGGGAATAGCCTGGCTACAGACCCCAGCAACCACAGATACAGATCCCAGCTCCACCACAGCTGAGGAGGAACAGAGAAATTCCTCTCAAGGCCAAAAAAAATTGCAGGAATAACAGGAGAAACCTTCAAGGTCTCCAGATAAAACTGCTGTGAGTGATTCCAAACTGGGGGAGCTGGCAATGGGGTGGGTTATTAGAACCAGAATCCCAAAATGCTTTGGGTTGGAGGGGATCTTACAGCTCATCTCACTCCAACCCTCCTGGAAAGGGCCACCTTCCACTCTCCCAGGCTGCTCCAAGCCCTGTCCTTGGGCACTGCCAGGGATGGAGCAGCCACAGCTTCTCTGGGCAACCCTTCCCAGGACCTCCCCACCCTCCCAGGGAGGAATTCCAGGACACTCCAGCCCAAACCACCCCATGGAGCAGCAGCGGTCACACCCAGCCCTGCTCCACCCTTCCTGCAAGCCCCTGGGATGTCACCAGGGCTGTCCCCAGCTGGGGTGGCACCCCAGGACGTGCCACCTCACCTTTGTTGTAGAGGGAGCCATCGAAGTAGTAGCTGCCGGTGTAGAAGCCGGTGGCCAACTCGATCAGGTGCCGGGCCCAGGTGTTCCCAGCTCCAGGAAAACTGGCCAGGGCCACCAACTGCTTGGCACGGCTGGGCAGGAACCTCCTGTCCATGCAGCGGTTGTCTGCAGGGAGGCACATCAGGAACGTGGCATGGAAATCTGCTTTTCCCGCTGGCATGTCTGGGGGAACGCCGCCTCTGCCGGGAAAACGCTGGGGAAGGGGTGAGGAGGTGGCTGGGCAGGGAAAGGTGCCCTGCCTAAAGCTTAGAGGGACATCCCAAAGGGTTCTGGACACCTCAAAAGGGGCCTAAACACCCGAAAAGCCCTAAGAGGATTTTTCCAAAGAGTTCTGTGTCATTCCCATCTGTGTGCTTAGGGAAGAGTGACTAACAGGGATTCCTGTGCCAAGCAACGCTCCTGCTTTTTTGGTGAATCCATGAACAGCATTTCCAGCACAGCCCCAAACGCCAAAGCGTCGTGACAAGACTGACCCCAAACCACCCGAATTTAGGTCCTCCCTTGCACCCTTCAGCCCTTTCCTCTCCCAGGAACAGTTTTCCTTTCTCCCAGTGCTTCCCTGGCTCCCTGCTCCCGCTGCTCTCTCGGGAATGTTCTGCCTGATCACAGCCTTTTCCAGGGCACAGTTTTCCCTGGAGCTTGTCCCCTCTGGATAGCAGACTCCCATGGGATCACAGGAGAAGCTCTGGAAAGGAGGAATCCTGCCCGACCAGATGGAATCTGCCGTGCCCCACTGCCGAGTCAGGCAGCAGCCACAGCTCACCCGGGGAGCGCCGATTTCCCAGGGAATTCAAACCCGCTGGTTTTTAGCGGGATGCTCACGCTCCCTGCTGGCATTTTTTTGGGGGGAGAGGTGGGGGAAAAGCTCACCCTGCACTTGTGTCTGGTAGACCAGCAGGAAGTCGGCGGAGCCGCAGCTCTCGAACTCCTCGGCGGCGCATTTGTGGGCGCAGAGCTGCTCGTCCTCGCGCTCGTGCAGCGGGAACAGCGTGCTGGGAAAGCCGCAGCGGCACGTGGTGCCCGCCAGTGCTGCCAGCGGGAATTCCTGCAGGGATGGCCACAGGGAATGGCGCTGGCACCCACCCCCCACCGGGGCAGAGCCTTCGCCCCCCGTACCCGCCCCTGATGGCAGCGCGGGGTGGTTTGTAACATCCTTCCAATTCCAGCATCCTTCCAATTCCAGCATCAGGATCCTTCCAATTCCAGCATCATTCCCATTCCAGCATCATTCCAATTCCAGCATCCTTCCAATTCCAGCATCCTTCCAATTCCAGCATCAGCATCATTCCCATTCCAGCATCAGCATCCTTCCAATCCCAGCATCAGCATCCTTCCAATTCCAGCATCATTCCAATTCCAGCATCAGCATCCTTCCAATTCCAGCATCCTTCCCATTCCAGCATCCTTCCAATTCCAGCATCAGCATCATTCCAATTCCAGCATCATTCCAATTCCAGCATCCTTCCAAAACATTCCAACATCATTCAAGTCCCAGCATCCTTCCAGATCATTCCAGAATGATTCCTGAACATTCCAACTCTGTTCCAGACCATTTCCAGCATCCTTCCAATCCCAGCATCATTCTAGAACATTCCATCATCCTTCCAATTCCAGCACCATTCCAGACCATTTCCAGCATCCTTCTAATCCCAGCATCATTCCAGAACATTCCAGCACCATTCCAGACCATTCCCAGCATCCTTCCAATTCCAGCATCATTCCAGACCATTTCCAGCATCCTTCCAATTCCAGCATCATTCCTGAACATTCCAGCATCATTCCAGAACATCCCAGCACCATTCCAGACCATTCCCAGCATCCTTCCAATCCCAGCATCATTCCAGAACATTCCAGCACCATTCCAGACCATTTCCAGCATCCTCCCAATTCCAGCATCATTCCAACTCCAGCATCTTTACACCTTATTTCCAGCATCCTTCCAGCCCTTTCCAGCCTTCTTCCAACCTATTTCAAGCATCATTCCAGACCATTTCCAGCATCCTCCCTCCATCACTTCCCACTGCCAACCTTTCCCTCCCCTGCTCAGAGGCACCACGCCCCCGGATGAGACCCCTGGACCAGAGCAGGACCCCATGGGGCTCCTTTAAATGTCCCTTCCAACCTAAACTCTAATTCTGGGATGTTCCTTCCCAAATTTTCTCAGGGCTGCTGCTGGCTCTACTCCCTCCCGTGGCAGGGACACAAATCCATTTATCCCTTTTTTGGATACACAAAATGATATCCCTCAACTGGGTTCAGATCTCCCGGCGTGAGTCTGACGATGATGATGGAAACAAAGATGAAGAAGAGTTTATCCCAGTACCTTCTCCGTGCAGAAATCCACACATTTATCCACGGACATGTTGAGCATGAGCTGGCTGGCGGGCAGGGCGATGGAGACGTTCTCCGGCCGGCGGAAGCACCCCCGGAAAATCGCGCTTCCATCTGAGGGGGAGAGAGAGAGAGAGGCCCCAGTGACACTCCAGAAATGACCCTGCTGCCACTCCGTGTGGCATTCCCGACTGCTCCAGTGGCTCCTGGCCCCTCCGGCGGTGCAGCCACATTGGATAACGCTCGTCTGGCTGCTGACGGAGCAAAATCGGAGCAAAACGCCGGCAGCAAAGTCAGGGATATTTTTTTTTTCTTGGCTGTTTTTATCAGCTCCATGATCCCAGGGATGGAGCAGGGGCAGAGCCGGGGAGGAGAGCAGGGCCAGGTTTGGTCAGGTCTGGAATCTCATCCCTGGTCCTTGGTGCCCTCAGCCCTTGTGCCTTCCTGGTTGTTGCCATCCCCTTTCCCATTCCTTGGATATGAGGAAAGGTGAGCAGGGAATGTGGGTAATTATAGAGCTGCTTAATTGGGGGCCAAATGAGGGAGCAGCCTCAGCTCTGTCTGGAATTCCCACACATCCTTCATCCTGCAACACACACAGGAGACATTGATGGTTCTGTTTGGCCGCGGGGAGAGATATCCCCACACAAAGTCTCCCAAAATTCCCTGAATTCCAGCAACAATCCTTGGGGCTCCTCATTCCACCCAACCCCAGCCAGCAGCACTCCCAAGGGGATTCCTCATGTTTGCAGGAGCAAAACTACCCCAGACTCAAGAACCGCTCTCCGAGAACCTCCATGGAGCCACGACCCGGCTCGGGAATTCCATCACCAAGGGAAGTGCCCCGTTCCAGGGCTGAGCTGGGAGCAGTCTCCAGCTTACACCTGCGGGCGGATTCCTGGGCCAGCTCCAGGCGGTAGATGGAGAGCCGGTTGATCCCGCCGCAGGTGTTGCTCCGCTCGCCCTTGCATTCCATGTTGCACTCGGATTCGCTGGCGTTGGACGCTTGGATCTTGTGCCCGCAGTAGCACTCGGCCCCAAATTCCAGCCCTGCGTACAGGTACCCCCTGCCGAGAGGGAGGTGGGATCTCAGCACCCATCCTTCCCTTTTCCTTTCCATTTTCCCTTCCCTTCCCTTCCCTTCCCTTCCCTTCCCTTCCCTTCCCTTCCCTTCCCTTCCCTTCCCTTCCCTTCCCTTCCCTTTTTCCTTTCTTTCCCGTCCTTTCCTTTCCCATTCTGCAATTCTTTCCTATCCT